ATTCAATTACTCATTCTCCCCGTCGCTTCGTGGCCGGTCTTATATATACAAGACTACACTATATCTAGAAAGATCCCGAGATTTAGGGAAAGGACGTGAATGTTCGAGAACGACGTGGCGTGATACTAGTCACGTGACCTCGATGTCGTAACAATATATAAGCCTGGCAGAGAAAACCTGCGTGTTGGAATGATGAGAGTTCCGGGTAATTTACGATTCTTTTTCGAGCTAGTGTGTGTTTTGTTATCGAGATGGTGAATTGCTGTAATTTATAGCATGTATTATAAAAATAGTTAAGTTTAAAGTGACAAAAAACGTACTGATTATGAAATTACTGTGTGTAATAGTTTGTATCGAGGAAGAATAAACTGGTTTAACCAAGAATGGACTTTTATCGCTGAAGTTTCTCGGAAAAAATTTCTACGAGAAATTAACAAGCAAGCAGATACGCAACACTAATTAAGGCTCTGACTGAACATGATACAAATCATGTTAATTACACGAAGGGTTTAGGTTTAAGATTCGATCATGTTAAAAAAATGGTTCAGTATTTTTATATATATTAAAATCCACGGTTTGCGAGCCAAATTATTCTAATACAATTACTTATTGTTAACAAATTCGAACATTGTTCAACTAAAGTGTTTAAATAATATATTTAACATGTTCAAACATGCTCGTTCGTAACATACAATAACAATATTTTAAACAATGTAATTAATAATTTTCTTAAGAGAAATTGTTCTTTCCAACCATTAATAATTGTATTTATTGATTTTTCCTGTATGTTTATAATACTATTTGATTAATTATTTTAAAATATACTTTAAAAGATTCTAAAAGATCGTATTTCCTTTCTTTTTAACCCTTATCACTATCGCAAAGTTTTTATGATGGAAGGACAGAAAATGTTACATTATTTCAGTTTTAATTCCAGAACAGAGATGTCGCCTTAAAAAACTTTAGACGATCTATCCTAAGGAAAAGTAAAGCTTAGGATTGTTGTGCTAACATATACTTGAGTGAGGTAAGTGATAAAAAATTTAAAATCGAAACTGTGACTCAAGCTCAGACGTAAGATAATAACAGCATTTTGATATTTTTTTATGCTACAAATCATACAATCTATATCAATTTTCAAATATTTTCAGGTACGCGAGAGAAATGAAACGTCATAATACTAATAGTAGTAATACTAAGTACTAAGTTAACTTAATTATAAATAACAATGACATAACGTAAGCGATGATTTCATCATATTGTAACCTGTAACAGTGTAAGTGTAACAGAATATTTATGGCTATTGGAAGTTGATAATCTTATTCCATGTGTCACTTTCTACTATTGTATAATTACCAATTTAGTTTTAGGATATGCGAGTATGACAAGTGAGGTTTTATTACATGGTAAGGACTCGTCGGAGGGATAGTGATTCAGTTGTACTCTGATACTGATAGGCCTAGTACGAGTACAAAAACGTCAACAAGCCTTAAACTGAACAATGGGTCACCACTGTCAGGATTATTGTTAATAAACATTTTCAGTTATTTGATAATATTAAGATTAACCGAAGCAACTCTTCATAAGTTTGCTCAGGTAATTATTTTAATTTCACACACAGTTTCTGAGGTTTCCAAATTCTGTAGTTTAGGATTACCGAATATTATACTGGGACAGTGAAAGTACTACTTCTAATTTCTACTCTAGTCTAACAAAGTTCCAGTTCTATATTCTGCTTTTTAAGTTACAGTGTTAGTATTACTATTAATGAGGGAAGAACTGTATTTGGGCAACAGTGTTTTTTTTTTTTTAGTGAATTTAGCCATTTTAGGGTTAACAAATTAGTGGTGTTAGGTAAATACCTTGGATTTCAAATTTAGGGTTAACAAACTAGTGGTGTCAGGTAAGTATCTTGGATTTGAAAGTAAGTTAGAGGATGTGTCATACATATATGAGCACTCAATTACCAAATGATTATTCTGTAGTGGTATGACTAATTACTTGAAAAAAAGAGTCCCTTACGTAAACACTAGAAGTATTTTTTATGTAAAATGTTGTACAGTGCAAGCACATATATGATCTTGGCCACGTAAAAACTAATACATCCTTACTGAAGCAGTTCAAGCAAGTTTAAACATTGTTGTTTTTAGAAGATTATAGCTGTATCAGTTTTATAAGTTGAGGCTGCAACCAGTGGTGGGATTCAAATATCTTAACAACAGGTTCTCT